GTAGAAAATGACTCAGGAAACCTTTACCCAGATTTAAGAATAAAATGAAAAATGTTTGATAAAACTGAAGATTGTAAACGGATAGGGCAGTAGATCCCTCGAGTATCATCTCTTCGTGACCATATAAGCAATCGGACTCTCTACCACATGAGCAGCGTGTAGGATTTTAATTTTAGTTGGTTATATGTTTATGAAAGATGTAAAGAAATAAAAAAGGAAAATGTGAATAAAATAAGATTAAAATCTGAATAAAAATGTTTCGGTCCATCAAGTCGCATACATTCCTGTTCAGTGCTGCAACTAGACCTTGTCATTGCGACGATATTTTTGCATCTATTCGAGGAATGGGATATTTGCTTATCACAGTTCACCACTCGGCATTGCCAAGTGACCTTGGGATCTAAGTATAAAATGATTCATTTTAGTTTCGCAGGCACGGCTGTCATCGGAACGGGTGTTCGTTCGTCGCCCTTCAACACTTTATTACAATCGCTGCAAAGATATTGCGCATTTCTATGTGATTGGCCTGGGTATCCTTCCATTTCTAGCACTCATGGGATTTATTCACATCGTTTTCGGTGTGTTTTTGAATGATTTTCGAATGAATTTTGAGAAATATTCTGGGAAATTTTGAATGAAAATCGCACTTGATATATATGTATGTACTTACTTTGTTACTTTCTTTGATACTTGAGGTATTGGTAATATAGAAATAAGCGAATAAATATGAGCCTAAAATGCAAAAAATTAAAATCAGTGTTCAGATATAACGGATAAATTAGAAGTAGGATTAATGTAAGCTGAGGTCAGATGTTTCGGTCCATTAAGTTGTATACGTTGTATCTATTTGAACGCCATAACTGGATCTCACCAGTACAGAAGTTGTATGAAGTCTGGTTTTTTTTTTTTTGACTGTGAAAGTAGAAAGGGAATTTAACAACCTAGGCATAATGCCGTCATCTGCAGCATTATTTCGCTTGTGAAGTTTGAGCGATCCTTGCAACAATAAGAACTGTAAGGATGGTTTTAACCGTGATAAGAAGTCCT